AAAAAAAAAAAAAAAAAATACAGCCTATCTCTTCTTAATTGGTGGAAAAAAATACAGCATATCACCAATTCTATACAATCTCTTACAGAAAAAAGAAGAGTAGGAAACATTTCATTGTATGAAGCCAATATAACAAAACTAGACAAGACAGTACCACAAAAACTATAGACCAATATCCCTCATAAATAGAGATGCAAAAATCTTTAACAAAATATTAGCAAAGAGAATCCAGCAATATATTTTAAGAATTATATACCATGTACAAGTGGGGTCTATTCCAGGGATGCAAGCCTAGTTTAGTATTTGAAAGCCCATCAGTATAATCCACCATGTTAATAGGCCAAAGAAGAAAATTACGTGGCCATATCACTTGGTGTAGAAAAATCATTTAATAATATTTAATACCCATTCATGACTAAACTCTCAGAAAATTAGAAATTGGGAGCTTCCTCAACTTGGTAACATCTACAAGAAGGCCTGTAGCTGACGTCATACTTAATGGTAAATCCTCTCCCCTAAGATTGGGAACACAGCAAGGATATTGTCTATTTACTGCTATACAACATAGTTATCGAAGTTCTAGCCAATGAAATAAAGGAAAGAAAAGGATATTAAAAGTATAGATCAGAAAGGAAGAAATAAAACTGTATCTTTATGCAGATGACATGATTGTCTACATAGAAAACTCCAGAGAATATACCCCCAAAAATCCTAGAACTATTAATAATAAATGAGTTCAGCAAGTTTCCAGGGTACAGTAGTCCCCCCTCATACATGGCTTCACTTTTCGTGGTTTCATTTACCCATGGTTTCAGTTACCTGAGGTCAGCTGTAGTCCAAAAATATTAATGGAAAATTCGAGAAATCGTTTGTAAGTTTTAAATTGAGCACCATTCTGAGTCAGCGTGATGAGATCTCGAGCCATCTGGCCTGGGACATCATCAGCATATCCACACTATATACACTGTCTGCCTGTTGGTCACTTAGCCTTCTCAATTATCAGATGGACTAATCTGTAACTGTAGTATTACAGTGCTGTGTTCAGGTAACCCTTATTTTACTTAATAATACTAATACTACTAATTTCTAAATTAAACTTTATCATAAATGTGTATATGTAGACAAAAGCATAGTATATAGAGGGTTTGGTATTATCCAAGGTTTTAGGCATCCATTGGGGGTCTTGGACCATATCCCCTGCGGATAAGGGGGAGACTACTGTATAAGATGTACCTATAAATAACTTCTATTCACTAGCAATGAGCACATGGAAACCAAAATTTTAAATATAATACCATTTACAACCTCTCCCAAAAAATACTTAGGTGTAAATCTAACAAAACTTGTATAGGACTTATGTAATGGAAACTACAAAACCCTGATGAAAGAAACTCAAGAACTAAATAAATATCATGTTCAAGGTTCAGGAGATTCGACATAGTTAAAATGTCAGTCCTCCCCACATTGATACAGAGGTTTAATGCCATTCCCTTCAAAATCCCAGCAAGATTGTTTATAGATATAGGCAAGTTTATCCTAAAATTTATCTGAAAATGCAAGGAATGAGAAGAGCTAAAAAAATTTTGAAAAAGATAAAATGGAATCAGTCTACTTGATTAAGACTTATTACTTAGCTACAGTAATCAAGACTATGGTGTTTGTGGAAAGATAGACACATCAATGGAACAGAATACAGAATCTAGAAATAGACCCACACAAATAGTGATTTTTTTAAATATATATATATAAATAAACAACCTAATTGAGATATAATTCCTATATAGTTCCATGTTTAGTACAGTCACAGTTGTACAGTCATCACCACAATTAATTTTAGAATATTTTCATTGCCCCCAAGAGAAGCCCTGAACCCATTAATAGTCACTAGTTATTTCCCTCCATGTCCCCCCAATCCCTGGCAATAACTGATCTGATTCCCACCTCTATAAATTTACCTATTCTGTACATTTCATATAAATAGACTCACACTGTACATGATCTTTTGCAACTGGCTTCTTTCACTTAACATAATATTTTCAAGGTTTATCTACATAGCTTATATCAGTACTTTATTCCTTTTTATTGCCAAATAATATTCATTCTATGGGTATAGTGCATTTTATTTATCCATTCATCAGTTGATGGACATTTGAGTCCCCAGCTGATTTTTTACAAAGGTGCAAAAGCAATTCATCGTAGGAAAGATAGCCTTTTTAACAATGGTTCTGGAGCAATTGGGTATCTATACATACCTTAGGCAAAAATTAAAACAAAACATAAAACTGGACAACTTTCAGAAAAAACATAGAAATCTTCATGATCTGGCGGTAGGCAAAGAGTTCTTAGACTTGACACCATCAAAATTCAAAAATTTTGGTCTTCAAAAAACGTTAAGAGAATGAAAGGATGAGCTATAGACTGGGAGAAAATATTTGCAACCCACATCTTTGACAAAGGACTATTATCTAGAAAATGAAAAGCTTTCAAAACTCAAGACAGTAGAAAAACGAACAATCCAAATAGAAAATGCGCAAAAGATGTAAGACATTTCACCAAAGAGAATATAGAGATGGCAAATAAATACATAAAAGATGTTTAACATTATTAGCCATTTGGTAAATGCAGATAACAACCACAAATATCACTACATACCTTTCATGATGGCTAAAAGAAGAAGTTTTGACAACACTAAATGCTGGGGAGGACGCAGATAACTGGATCACTCATACATTGCTGGTGGCAGCGTAAGATGGTATGGCTGCTCTGGAAAACAGTTTGGTGGTTTCTTAAAAACTAAACGCGAGACTGTAATTCAACACAATGATTGCATTCTTGAGCATTTATCCCGGAGAAATGAAAACTTATATTCACAAAAAAAGCCTTACATACATGTTCATAGCATCTTTATTCAAAATAGCCAGAAACTAGAAGCAACCCACACACCCTTCAACTGATGACTGGTTAAACTGTGGCACATCCATACCACGGAATACTATTCAGCAGTAAAAACAAACCATTGGTACGTGCAACAGCCTGGATAAATCTCCAAAAAATTATACTGAGTAAAAAAGCTAATCCCAAATATTTACATACTGTGTGATTTATTTAACATTCTTAAAATGTGAAATGATAGAGATGGAAGAC